AGAGAGAGAGAGAGAGAGAGAGAGAGAGAGAGAGAGAGAGAGAGAGAGAGAGAGAGAGAGAGAGAGAGAGAGAGTGTTACATGCTGCGCCTGCACACGAGGGCCATTTTCCAGGCCCTGCGTCCCTCAGGCTGAAAGTCTGAAATTCAGGCTTAAAGCCTGAAAACCAGGGCCTACAGGCCCCGTGACTGTTCAGCCTGAAAGCCTGAAAACAGGGGCCTACAGTCCCTGTGTCGTTTCAGACTTAAAATGGCAACAGCCTTTTTAGCCTGAAACGAAGGGCCATTTTCGGTCGTTCATCAGAACAACCGGCCCTGAAACTGAGGCACCGAACCAGGGTTTCGGGAACAGGCTATTCTTAGCCTGTTCCCCACGCCAGCCTCAGCAGCTGCTGCAGCGCCAGCCCCTGGCACACTTCGGCATTGGCAAGAGCAGCCTCCTCGGCCTGGCTCGCCCTTCAGGCAGTCAGGAGGCAGGCCGAGGTAGTACATAGGGACTTCCCATGCACTTCACGGGTAGGCAGGAGGCAGTAGTCTTCAGGATTCGGCCGCAGCACTCTGGAGGGAGCGCTGCAGGAAGCAGTAGTAGCGTTAGCCTTTAGTCTTCAGCGCTGGGCGCAGTAGGTAGCTGTAGTCTCCAGCGCTGGGCGCCAGAACTAGGATAGCATTAGAGAGAGAGAGAGATTGGGCGGAGGCCAGAGGTACTTACCTGCAGTGCCGTTGCTCCAGCTTCGTCTTCGAGGTACCTGCAGCACAGCGCCAACATCACAGGTTAGTATCTGGCTCGTACCAGAGAGAGAGAGTTCTTCTTCTTCCTCTTGTCAGTCCACCATCTCCTTCTCCCCCTCTCATCATCTGACTTCACTGCATCTGCGGACTACGAGAGAAGAGAGAAGGAGCTTGGTGATATCGGATCCAGACTCGACTTTTGGACTTCAGACATTGCAACGAGGGATCATTTGGGACTTGTGACAAGACTTGGTGTTAACGGCATTCCCATCTCTCTCCCTCCTTTCGTCTGATTCCTTCCTCTTCGTCTGTGTATGTCTGGACCTGGCGCTTTCTTCCTGTGTACAGCGCCAGGCTCCTTCACACCTGGTGATGGATACGATG